GGAGGGGAAGCATCTTGTACAAGCTGACAGGACAGGAGGCAGGGTTGGTGGCTCTGCCAGTCAAAAGAGTTACTCCAAGCTCTAAATTGTAGAGGTGGGGTTCTTGGGCTGAGTTTCATCAAGGGCAGCTGCTCTCAAAGCCAGCACTGGGGTGAGCAGCTAAGACAGCGATTTTCAACCTGTGGGTTGTAATCCACAGGAACTGTATTAAAGGGCCGCGGCATTAGGAAGGTGGACAACCACTGAGCTAAGAGGAGGAGAGAGACTAAGAATATTTGGGGGATGGGCCGGGTGCGGTGGCTCATACCTATGGTCCTAGCACCCTGGAAGGCTGAAGAGGGAGGACTGCCTGAGCTCACAAGTTCAGAGTTCGAAACCAGCCTGAGCCAGGGCGACACCCCGTCTCTAAAAATAACCAGGTGTTGTGGTGGTGCCTGTAGTCCCAGCTACTTGGGAGGCTGAGGCAAGTGAATAACTTGAGCCTAAGAATTTGAAGTTACTGTGAGCTGTGACGCCACAGCATTCTACTGAGGATGACAAAGTGAGACTGTCTCAAAAAAAAAAAAAAAAAAAGAAGAAGAAGAAGAATATGTGGGGGAGATAAAGTAGCAGAGGGCAATTCTTTCTCTTCATAAAGGTGCCTGTGCCAGCTGTATCCTAGAATTTCTCTAGTCTGATATTAGCCTTTAGCTAGAAGTGTGTATACAGAATGATGGAAGATATTATTTCTAGCTAACCTAAAGTTGTTATTTTACCATTAAGCATGGTGGGGGTTAGGGTGTCATGAATTAAAAGCTTTTTCTGACCACTGTGGCTCACGCCTATAATCCTAGCATTTTGGGAGGCTGAAGTGGGTGAACTACTTGAGCTTAGGAGTTCGAGACCAGCCTGAGCAAGAGTAAGACACTGTCTCTACTAAAAATAGAAAAAACTAGCCAGGGCAGGGCACAGTGGCTCCTGCCTATAATCCTAGCACTCTGGGAGGTGGGTGGATCGCCTGAGCAAGAGTGAGACCCCATCTCTAAAAATTAGCTGGGTGTGATGCCTGTAGGCCCAGCTACTCTGGAGGCTGAGGCAAGAGAATCACTTGAGTCCAAGAGTTTGAGGTTGCGGCTCGGCGCCTGTGGCTCAAGCGGCTAAGGCGCCAGCCACATACACCTAAGGTGG